GGAATAAATACAGAGTTTGTGGGGTTTATTCCCCAGAGCCTCGTTCTGAGGTCTATTGTGTTAGGCTGAATTTTAATATATCGAAATTGGTCTATTAAGGGATAAGTACTGAAAAGAAAAGGCCCGGGTTGCTCGATAGGAGGTTTGTGGTGTTAACACTTATCCACTGGATAGCGATTCATTCGGTGGATAACGTTATCCAGCCTTCGAACGACTTTGAACAGCACTGTTCGATGTAAGACCCCGTACACACTACGCCAGCGAAATCTAAAAAAGCATCAAATGTTTTCCGTCCACAGTATGTCGGAGAAATTTGACAGCGCAAAAGTCATCGGTCATTTGTGATTTCTGTTTGAGGAAAACTCGGGTAGGGAAATCACAAGAGTATCGTGACGTCACCGTTTTCGAAAAGCTCCGTTTTCAAAATTTTTTCCCCCGCACTGAAACGCAAAGCCGGCGTTTTCAAATTCCTCCGGTTTGAAGAGCGTTTTCGGAAAGCTCCGTTACTGTGACAGATTAGTGTGGACGGTAGGCCTAACCGTAGAAATAAAGCTGCGTTTTGAAATTTCTCTGGTGTAGTGTGAACGCCGTCTTAAATTGAAAAGGAAAATAATTTAAATAGTCTTTCTTAAACTATTTAAATTACTTTGGATCTTTAAAATAAATTGTGATTCNTTTTTTTTTTTTTTTTTTCTCCACAGCAGGGGGAAGGAGAAAACAAGAAAGCCTGATTCAATGAATTCACGAGTCGTCTGCCCGTACTCCAGAATCTGGACTTTTTTCTGACTTTGTCCCAAAACAAAATAGTCTTTAAGCTCTCCTTTCTGATTGGTTACGCGATTGGATATCTGACTTCCGGTGCAATTTCAAACACGAAGCCTGGCGGCCGCGGAGATTGATATACTTGTATACAGAAGCTTAGCTGGTTTTCATGTGGTCTTCTATCCTGATCGAATTGGAATTTGGAGTGTTTTTTTTTGTGGAGGGAGAAAACCGGAGAACCTGGAGCTCTAAAACAGAGTACACAAAAGTAGTTCATTTACTTACTTACCTGTTACTACACTGATTATCAGTAAAATAACAACACTAGAAAAGGACAACAAAGAGAAAAGCAATTATTCTAAAAGCAGGCACAAAAATATTTTGCATCCGAGTAGACATGCTGGCTGGAAATCTACCTTTCTTTTAATTTACCTCCAGATCAAGTAAGACAAATAGCCCAGTAGAGTAGCCAGTAAAAATGTTGAGGAACATGTGTCGTCCGGATAGTGATTTCTGACGACTACTGGTTCCTTTCGACAACTCGCAGTAACCTAATTCTTCTTGAAAACACAAAGGAAACAAGGATATGAGAGAGTGCTAAAACACGCTATTATCATTCCTTGACAGTCAATGGGGTGATTGATTACCAGCTGGTAGTACTAAGAATCTGTTGGGATGTGTTTGTTCTTAGTAATAATGTCCCAGCTTTCTAAAGTCAGTCGTTGATTAAGTAATATGTACTGAAGACAATGTACTGACCACAACCAACAATTCGACAAAATAATGACCGAATAAAACAAACCTGCCAGCAGCATTGTAGAACATTTTATCATGGTCACTCGGTGAATTTTGCTTTCTTGCCTTTCCATAAAGCACATACAGAGCTGTATTGTCGAGAGCATGTACAAGTTAGTCGTAATTATCATGCAATGTAATTTAGTGTCCAGATCGTTTGGTGGCTCTCTGGAAAATTGAAATGTGGGACGTTTGTCATTCAGTACAACAACAGGCGATGTGTGTATATTGTATACTGTACTACAATCGGTTTGTCAACTAAAGGGCTATTCCCCATTAACAACCACCTGCATGTATCGTCTAAAATCATGAGATATAACAAGAAAAACAGTCCTTTTAAGTACTAGGTATGTAATTAAATGAATACAAATGTGACCTGTACATAAAGATTTAAGAGAAGGAGGCCTTAACTAGACGTTTTATCGATGCACAACAACAATAACAAAATAATTGAATTGTGAAGCTGGGCTTTTCATAAAGATTGTAGATACAGTATCATAAAATAACTGAGCTACTACGTGTGCTCTCATTGGTTGATAGGTGTGTTTAGATGACAGTAATGAAGCACGGCTGTGACGCATTAGATTCGCGCATATTTGTGAGAATTATTTTATAAAAGCAATAGAACACTTTTTCCGTGTTTACATAGCGTCAGCAAAACACTCGGGGCTGGGAGAATTCTCGAAAGTCATGTAAATCCCCCACTACGTCCCGGGTTTGCATAACTGTCTCGAAATCTCTCAACCACCCTCGTGTTTAGATGAGGCTATGTAAACACGAAAAAAGTGCTCCATTGCTTAAATTTACATGTGCTTGGCTACATGTATGTGTGTGTATGTATCTATACTTGCCGGAAAGTCCACAATGGATCATTATCCACTTGTATCCCACTTGATCAAACTGAAAATCACGTAAAACACAACAGAAATTAACTACTTGTGTTACACTTGCTTTCTGCGTTAGATCATACACTGTAGTTAATAGAGGGGACTGATATGAAGCCCGTCAAATGCCAAAATAGCAAACAAAGATACCAAGATTTATGTTGGAAGGTCCACAACCGTGCACAATCTTTTGTTTTGCGTTCATACACTATGCCTGAATGATGGAAGCAATACTTTTCTATTGGTTAGTTCCTCAGTATGGAGTTAACAACTATTGTGTTTTGTGCACGGTCAAAGCGAAAAAAGCGAACAAAAACATACAGCAAAGAACTTTGTCGGGTTTCATAACTATTCCCCTCTATTAACTATGATTAGATTGGACACTAGAAAGCAACTTGTAAGAGAGCAAATGCTGAACGTCCTACTTCTGTAACTCAATAGAAACATAGAATTACAGTAACACAAGCCGAAAGAATTTTCAGTGCTGCCACAATGGGAAAGCTCATTCATTTAAAAAATCCTTTTTGAAGATTAAGGAAAACAAAAAACAAACAAACAAGCCTGGTGGTTCTTAGGAGGTCTCCTCGCTGCCTTTTTGTTTGTTGTTATTTTTTCTTTTTATTAACGGTGTGGCAAATAAAAAAAGATGATAATGATGACGACGAGGACAAAATAATAAAAAAAAGACAACAACAATGATAATATCGATGATGACGAAGAAACAAACAAAAACCAACTTTTAAACAAACCTGTAAATCCGTTGCTGCCACAGACACTGTTGCAATAGCTGTCAGTATTAAACTAAAAGCAAATGTAATTAGTTTTGTAAAAATTGAAGATTTTTGAAAGAACAAGTAATCTTCAAATACAACCATCACTTGCTTGTCCGTGCAGTACAATGTAATTATACATGTTTGTGAGTCATCCCACCTGATTTGCGAATTTCCTGATGGTTCCTGAAAACAATGTTTTGCCCAATCAATGATCAAGTTAAATCTAAATTGGTGCACAAATATATCAAAAAGACTTTTGTTTTCATCCCTCAATTAAAAAAAAAAAGAAAAAAAGAAAAATAGCCATCCATTTTTTCATTAATTGTTCATCTGTTTGTTTTGTTTGTTCACATTTATTTTCCGTTATTTCTTACATCATATGTTTTGGAGCAATATATAGTTGCAGAAAGATTAGAGTGATTGTGAATTGAGTGAATTGTGAATTAAGTGAAATGAGAAACCAAGCCAACACTTACCAATTAGAATACTCAGCCCATCTTCAGCAGTAGTAAAACAAAAACCAAAACCATAAGTAATTGCCTGGTTACTTCTGACACTCAAATGAAAACCACTCTAACTTAAGTAACATGTAAATACCTTTATTACCTTCTTTAGTAAGAAAGAATCCAGTAATGTCACAAACAATGCACATGAGTAATGCATTGCACAGAAAACTGGAACAGGCTGTTTAAAGATAAGCAAAAAAAGACCTACATAAAACCATACATAACTGATGAACAATAAACAAAGTAATACAGATTATCTTTTTTTTCTAGTACCAGAGCAGTGGTTTTCAGTGGTAGCAGTAAGTTGACACTTTTTCAATTCTACTGACGTGGCAGGGTATCATTTTATAATTTAGTTTAATGAATAATTATAAGCTCTTCAGTGATATATTCTA